ACACACACACACACACACACACACACATGCTCTCCCTATTTCGTTTTCAAAAAACGTATTGTGATTATCACAAATAAAATCATTTATAGCTACAATGGCTCGACGATGCAATTCAGATGCTTCCACTTAAGCTCACTTCCTTTTTACTTTTTTCTTCCGCTTTTACTGGTGGGTGTCGCGGGGAGATACAGGCGTCTGTCTGAAGCAAGGCGGGTGGCCTGTAGGAGGGACATCCCGTGGGCCCTGAGGGTGTTTGATACAGAATCATTCCAGCGTCTCCTTGGTCTTCCTCTGGCTCTCCAGCCAAAATATTTGATGTTAAAAGCCCTCAGAGCTGGTTGGTTTGAGGGCATCCGTGTGAGGGTTCCGAACCACTTGATCTTTTGTTTTTCAATATGTGAGGGGACTGTGTCCATTATGATTTCATTTTCTATTTTGTCTCTTCTGGTCTTGTTAACCGCTCTTCTAAAACATTTCATCTCTCATGTGACCAGCTTCCTCTCTGCGGCTTTTATTAGGGACCATGTCTGACACTGATATATAAGTGTTGGTGGGAAAATGCGTTGATGAGCTTCGCCTTGGCGCTCACGGGGATATTGGGATGTTTCAGGAGAGGGGCGAGTTGATAGCTGGCAGCATTGGCTTTCTGCCATCTGGTCTCTATTTCTCGATCTAACGTTCCATTTTCTGTGAAAATGCTGCCAAAGTATTTAAATTCGCTGCTTTGTTTTAGTTGGAATCCATTGATGTTAATATCCACTTTGTCTGGTCTCCTGCCAACTGCAATGACCTTGGTCTCGCTAACACTGATCTTCATGTCATATTTCTCGCAGCTCGCGTATGGTCGATTCATATAATATGCTCCTGTGGTTGAGTCTTGTTGTTCATCATAGCCAGGTCGTCTGCAAACATGAGTTAGTTGAGTCTGGATTGGCCTTCTTTGTAATCTGGTCCATGTAGATCACGAAGAGCTGAGGGGAGAGACCTTTCGCTTCCAGGGCTTTTTTCAGAGATGACTCAATGACCGCTCATCGTTGTCATCGTTATTACGATCATCATCATCATCATCATCATCATCATCGTCATCATCAACATCATCACCATCATCATCATCATCATCATCATCATCATCATCATCATCATCATCATCATCATCATCATCGCAAAAGTATAGCCAACGGCATCGTTGCCAGTAGCAGAAAGAGAAATCCAACGATTAAGCCATAAAGCAGAGCACACCCGCTGTTGCACTCAGCACAAACTGTCAGCCCCAACTAGAACCATCGAGCCAATTAAGCCAAGGGCACAGCAATAAAACACTGCACAGCTCATCAGTACAATCAACTCGCTACCCGGCAAAATGTACAGGCACGTGACGCACCCTGTTTACGCTGTAAACATAGATTACTTCACACGGTTTGTTTTGGTTTTAGTTAGAGTTTTATGGCACTAGCAGTACAGTTATGTGCAATAAGTGTCGAAGACCGGGGTTTTATAAGAGCGTAGCACTTTTTTCAAAAGGTTGAGAGATAAGGACGATTGATTTTGTTTGATTGGAAAGAAGAAGCAAACCACATCAGTGCACCCGCCAACCACTTACAAAAACGGTTTACTGACATGTACCCCCCCCCCAAAAAAAAAAAAAAAAAAAAAATTCTTAGCTTAACTGATGCTGTCTATTGCACACCTGGAGACGGGCATGACCCCTATTGCCAGTCTCGATATTCACCCTGCTTCTGAAACGCCGGACGTCTCTCTTCTGTATTAAGTGGTTTGGAACAAAACGTTTAAATGTCAAAATGATCAAACAAGCCCAGTGTAGTATTATATAAGGACCATTCAGACATGATGTCATCCATTGTGCTCACACACACGAACAGAAATGTGCAGACGTTGACTTGGCAGAAGGTTACCAGTTACCACGCAAAGCACACGGCCCAGGTACATTTGCTACATACCTCTATCGTTTTCTTTTCACACTGCGCTGCGCTGTCACTTCTTCTTATCTTAGGTAAGACCACCCGCAAAAAAAGTGAGATTGTAGTCTTTAGTCATTTGTACGAGTACTTTCCAGACACGCGTTAGTTATACGCAAGGAATGCTACGAGTGAGCTGTTTATATTTTTAGGTAGGCAAAGCGTCGAGAGGTCTCGAGACTGCGTCTTAACAGAGGGAAACTGCACCGTTCTGTTGCAAAGGACGGGAAAGGGGGGGGGGGATCCTACTTAAACTTAGAAATGGGCATACTCGAAATGAGAACAGGGAAAGGTGAGTAAGTCGCTAACAGACAGGTATGTTGCCAAGATAGATTGACATGTAGGAGACAGGCCCACTTTCCGTAAACTCTACCACAACTTTACTCTCTTCTTGTCTATCTGTCAGTCTCTCTCTCTCTCTCTCTCTCTCTCTCTCTCTCTCTCTCT